GAAACTTGATTTCCAAAACAGGCAATATCAGTGGATATCCCCCATATCCTGGAGACTGAGTAGGAAAATTCCAGCCAAATGGCACGAAGGGTGAAGCATTTATACACATACACACACCAAATTGGCTGAAACCAGCCCTGAGTTCACAGAATAAATGCATTTGGCAGACTTCTGTCATGACAATTTTTGGGGACATTCATTTATAATTTTTCTGCACTATGCCTGAAGAAGTGAAATTATTCATGAAAGCTTGAGCTAAATGTTTGGTTTTTAGTGGTCTAAATAAAGGTATCACAGACTCTAAATTTATATTGCATCTAGGTCCTACTTTACAATCCTTTATATGTCAGTTTATCAGAGGATAGTCATCTGCCTGAAGGTGTTCTCTATTTGAAGGCCTCTTTGCTCCCAGTGTGATTTAAAGATTTGTTGTTATGTGCCATCAAGTGGCTTCCAACTTTAAGGGGACACAAACAGAGTTTTTGAAATATGTCAGATGTTCAAAGAATTGTCTACCATTGATACCCCCAATAAATTTCTATGGCTGAGGGGAGATTTGAACCCAGGTATCCTGAATCCTAGTGCAACTATTTATTCACTACTCCACACCTGATTTTTAAAGACAGAGAAATGTAGAAAATGAGGAGCAGGGATCTGGAGTTGCCTTTCCACAATTAGTACTTGAAACAGAAAGCCAGCAATTCCTCTTTAAGGTGCCACGACTTTTTAATCTTTATTTTTTGGTTTGCTTTGCTTCTTGTCTGATATGCTTGCACAGACTAATATAGCTGCCACTTTGAAAACTGCCAATTACAAGAGATGAGGCTGGATGATTTTTTAATCTCCTTGGAAGTGAAAGAGGAGAGTGATGAGACTGTGAGTTAATGCCTTGCTTACATTAATCTAATGAGACCAATTTCAATGTGACTTTCCTGTAGTGGTTATAGGGTTCATATAAACCTGGTCGTGTTTGCAGAGCCACCATATCGTCTTGAACACAACTGATCTAGTCTGATTTTGAACCTTAATCCTGGTAAATTACTTGGATGGCCGGGAACGCCATGTAGGGCTAGGAATTAATCCTGCCTGAAGCTTGGAAAGTAATGGACCTATGATCTGACTCAGCATAGAGCAGTTTCTTTTGCTTATTAAATGTCAAATACTGACACAAATACAGAAGTGAAATTGTGACCTATAAAAACAGACTATGTCTGGATTTCAATTCTCTCCTTGTCCTAATTATATACTGTGTCTACTAGTTGTGCATTAGCACAGAGACTGGTAACCCTGACTCATCATTTTTCAACATCCTCAAGACCAGAGGCAAAGAGAATTTGCATGCGTTCTCCAAACATTCCCAACTTCCCCTAGAGCAAATATCTAATCTCATCCTACCTTGCAGTGCAGCTGTTTTGTTTCTGCATGATATGCAAGCATACTGTGCCATAACTAGGTTGTTGTTGTTTTGCTGAAGGTAACTCATGTCCCTAAAGAAGGACGCTGGGCAGTGTCACCTTTTGTGGAAGATACACCTTCAACTCTTCCTTGGATGTGAGGGCACATGCTTTGTGGGACAATATCAAACATAAGTTTGCATAATGTTTTCAGTACTGTAGTGGGATGATCTGCTCACTTGACTTCTCCCTGATATGACACGAATGTGGTGGGTTACATCTGTCTTTTGGAATGGTGTAGCCCTAGCAGACTTTACTACCTCTAAAGAGCAGAGCACTGAGCATCACAGTTCAATTGTGCTACTGTCATTCCTAACTGCTAGAAAATACCTTAACTAAAGGACAGGCACCTTAAGTATACACAAAGGGAATGCTGGCACAATAGGTGCATCATATGTATGCAGATTTGGTGCCACCACTACCTGTTGATTATTGTCTTGTAATTTGCCTGTGGTCAGAATGACCATCAGTGGCAGTCCTCTTAAAAAGCTATACATGTTACAAAGAAATCTAGATTAGATTCAGATGAAGGGGAAGTGAAAATTAATGGAGGAAATATAAACAGTTAAAATATGGAGATGATACAATTTTATAGGGAGACAGCAGGAATGACATGAACAGCCTGTTTATTTATTTATTTGATTTTTATACCACCCATCTGGCAGCCAAAGCCACTCTGGGCAGTTACAACAAAGGAAACAATAACAGTAACATAGTGATAAGGATATAAACAAAAGACCAAATAAAATATTAAAAATACAAAACGAATAACAGTAAAAATACACAGTAAAATACATAGTAAAATACACAGTAAAAAGATAACAAAATAAAATTAAAATGGAAACATGGCAGTAGGTTGGATGTTAAATTATTGAAGCATTATTGTGTCATGTTGTTTTAAAATCTGAGAAGGCCTATCTAAATAGCCATGTTTTTAATAGTTTTTTTTTTTGAAGGTTCCGAATGAGGGGGCTAACATGCGCTGGATTATGGAGAAAGCCAGAGAGTTCCAGAAAAAAACATTTACTTCTGCTTCATTGACTACGCAAAAGCCTTTGACTTTGTGGCCCACAACAAACTATGGCAAGTTCTTAAAGAAATGGGAGTGCCTGACCACCTTATCTATCTCCTGAGAAATCTATATATGGGACAGTTAGAACTGGATATGGAACAACGGATTGGTTCAAACTTGGGAAAGGAGTACAACAAGGCTGTATATTGTCTCCCTGCTTATTTAACTTATATGCAGAATACATCATGCGAAAGGCAGGACTGGATGAATCCCAAGCTGGAATCAAGACTGCCGGAAGAAATATCAACAACCTCAGATATGCAGATGATACCACTCTGATGGCAGAAAGTGAGGAGGAATTAAAGAACCTCGTAATGAGGGTGAAAGAGGAGAACGCAAAAAATGGTCTGGAGCTCAACATCGGAAAAATTTAAGATCATGGCCACTTGTCCCATCACTTCCTGGCAAATAGAAGGGGAAGATACAGAGGTAGTGACAGATTTTACTTTCTTGGGCTCCATGATCACTGCAGATGGGGACAGCAGCCACAAAATTAAAATACAACCTAGACAACATCTTTAAAAGCAGAGACATCACCTTGCCAACAAAGGTCTGCATAGTCAAAGCTATGGTTTTTCCAGTAGCGATGTATGGAAGTGAGGGCTGGACAATAAAGAATACTTTGGCCATGTCATGAGAAGAGAAGACTCCCTGGAAAAGACCCTGATGTTAGGAAAGTGTGAAGGCAAGAGAAGGGGGCAGAGGACAAGCTGGTTGGACAGTGGCATTGAAGCTACCAACATGAATTTGACCCAACTCCAGGAGGCAGTGGAAGACAGGAGGGCCTGGCATGCTCTGGTCCATGGGATCATGAAGAGTTGGACACGACTTGACGACTAAGCAACAATGTTGGGGCCAGGTGGATTTCAGGTGGGAGAGTGTTCCATAGTTATGGGACAACTGTCGAGAAGGCCCGGTTTCTGGTAGTTGCTTTTTGGGCCTCTCTCAGGGTCAGAACTCTCGACCGCCCTTCCTGTGACAATCTTACAGGATGAGCAGATCTCATCTGAAGGAGGCGCTCTGCCAGATATCAGTGTCCTAAACCGTTTAGGATAGCGATGGCGAACCCATGGCACACGTGCCACAGCTGGGCAGCCCCATGTACACAGCCTACTGAGGAAGGTCAAAGAAAAAAGTGCAAAAGCAGGATTATAGCTGAATGATACAAAAAATAAGGGCTGTTGAAGGATTCCATAACCTGAATGTGAATAATGAAACAACTGAAATAAGTAAAGGTTTTACTGTCATTCCAAATGAGGACTGCAGTCAAAAAAAAAAAACAAAAAACAGAAGATGACTGAGATTCAGAAGGGCAGCAATGAAGGAACTAGAAAAGATTCTTAAGTGGAAGGATGGGTTGCTAGGATCCAAGGCCAATATCATCAGGGGGAAGTGAAACCAATGTGGAGAATATATCAGGGATTTCCTACCAACTCTCCTCAGACTGAAGAAGCTACTTGGATGGGTAGCAAAACATTTCAACCTAACAAGAAAGAAGACCAGTTGCCATGATTCAACTTCCAGATAATCACGCCTGGATGACTGACAATCTTCACAGATATATTCCCTTCAACAGTTGCAATAACTCAGAATTCAATACATCTCAACATTCACCACAGCCAAGGGCACCAGGCTGGCTTGGGGGTGGAGGGCAAGCCACCAAGCCACATTATCCCTGCTTTCTAAAGAGGGAAAGGGCCAGACTATCAGGAGGGAGGTGAGGGAAGCTGACCTCCCACACCTGTTGCTACCTGAGGAAGCTACCTACAGGAAGGGCATTCTGATCTGAATAAACATATGAAAGACTTGCATTTTTAACTGGATTACAGTCAACCTATAGAGTCACATTGATTATAAAGGTACAGGTTCAGCACACATTTATGCCTTATTTTGGTCATCCTAATATGGATTTTTCCCCCTTACAACAAACCCTACTACTTTCGTTGACCATTATAGGCTGTCTTTGGGGTTTAAGTGTTGGATCCCCATTTGCCTCTGTTTTCAGAACTGCAAAAGCACTGCCCATATTCCCTTTATTTTATTTTTCTCGTTCAGATTAGGAGTCGTACAATTCCTTTCCTCTTGCCTCCTCCATCTTCTAAAGCCGCCCTAAGAGGGGGCGTAACCACCTCGTGGGTTCGTTTTCCTTCGGCTCGTCGTCCTCAAGCCGGCTTCCCATTGGCCGAAGGAAACCCCGCCTTCCTCCAAGAGACGCCCCCTCCTCCCTTCCCCTTCCCCTCCTCCTCCTCCTCGCCCCCACCCCCACCCGCTCGACACGCCTCGGCCTCCCTTTTGCGGGACGGCCCCCGTCCCTTCAGTCCGAGACTGCCTGGAGATGGGAACGGGAGCTCTCCCTGCCGATTGGCTGGCCGGCTTTCGGCTCTGCCGTTGGGCGGCCGGGCGGCGAAGGGGCGTGTCCGGAGCGCGGCGATTCGCCCGGGCCGAGGGGTGTGCGCGAGAGGAGGATGGAAGCAGCCGCTGTTCCCGAGCTGTTGAAGGCCGAGCGCGGCGCGAGCGCGGAAGGGAGGTTGAGGAGGAGGAGGAGGGGGGGGAAGCGATGGAGGAGGGGGGCGGCGGCGGTAGCGGCGGCCTCCGCTGCTGAGGCGCCGAGCGAAGGCTGCCCCTGAGGCGGCCGTTTGCGCCTCTCTCCGTCTTCCTTCCCTTCCGTCCTCGCCTTCCCACCGGCATCATGAACAGGGGCAGCAGCGCCGCTTCGTGCCCTTCGTCGGTCCCCGGAGACGGACACGGCAGCGGGCTCGGGCACAGCGAGTGCCGCCGGGTCTGTAGCAACTGTCGGAAAGTGCTGAGGCAGGTGGGTGAGGCGGCCGCTCTCCCTTCCTTCCTTCCTTCAGGGGGCTGTGGAAGCAGGTCTGTGGTGGGAAGGGTCTTGTCACGGGCCGGGAACGGAGGAAAGCACGGGCTTTTTTTTTTCCTTCTTTTTCTCGGCTTCCCTGCCCGGCTCGGAGCCCTCGCGAAATAGCCCAGGAATGCGGCCGCCGTGGCTGCCTATGAGACCGTCAGTCGGGCTCCTTCGCTCCAGCCACGCCCCCCTCCTCCCTTAGCCGACTCTCACAAGGGCAAAAAGAGAGTTCACAAAATGTCAATTTGTATATGTGTGCCTATTTACCAACACACAGAGAAAGAACGTGCATATGGACAATACGCGTATTTGTGTCTGTATGTTGTACCTTCATGTTTGTGTTGTGTATGCACGACAACGCACACATGCTGTATAATTTATTTATTTATCTATTTATTCTGTTTATATCCCGCCACTCTAGGCGGCTTACAAACACACAATACGACAAAAAAAAATATGAAAAGAATTATTACACTAAATAGCCAATTCTTCAAGATGGCAGGTCTTTTAAATTCTTCTTTCTCTTCCCCCACCCCCTCCTCGTCTCTTAAGAAAGTTGGGATCAAATCTTAGGTATGTGTTCTCCGACTAAGAGAAGGGGCTTAAGTTTGTTGTTTCAAAAATAACAGCCTAAAAAAAAAAACTAAGCAGTTTTGCTGGGTATGAGGTGCTGAGGAAGTGGGCTGCGCTCCACCAAAGCTTATGCCAAATAAAGAGTTCATTTTTGAGGTGCTGCAAGCCTATAGTGAATTTGTATATGCATGCCGTGTATACTGCGATGTACATATAGTGTCTTTTCATATCTTGCCCCCTCTGGAATGATGTTCATTGTATTTAAAAAAAAACAATGAAGAAATACTGAGTCGGAACAGCACTTCATAAAACCACATGCAGCCTGCAAGATCCAGTGTCAGCAGCAAAAGAGAAAGCATATAACGTCATTGCAAGCAAAATCTGGAGGAAGTAAAACTGCCTTTTTTATGATGACAGGGTGATAAGGTGTTGGTGTCATACTGCACAGACTTATATGTGTGTAGATTTGGTATGGATGCATACATAGAAATCAGAAATCTGTAATGTAATTATGTCCATTTGTACTTTGAAATGAGGTTTAAGCTATGATCTGTAAAGTTTTTTTCACCAATATAGAACATGGCATATACAGTTCTGCACATTTCCCCTAGAAAACAGTGCCACAGGGCTGAAAAGAGTGATGAAAAGGAGGACTAGAATGATTAAGGGTCTGGTGCAACTTCCCTATGAGGAAAAGTTATAACAGTTGGGGCTTTTTAGCATAGAGCAAAAGGCAAAGAAATGTGAGACATTGTAGCAATGTGTAAAAAATATGTGGAGTGGCAAAAATGGCTGAATACCTGTAGAAGCTTTTCCTCTCTTACTGTACTAGAGCTGAGGTCTGTCTGTCTGTCCAATAAAGCTAAACATGACAAAAGTACTTCTGTACCCAGCACATAGTTAAATTATGAAAATAGCGAAAGAACTACAAAATGCATTATTGTTTTATAAGAGAAATGGACAAATTTGTGGATGATGGGGCTATTGACTGTACAGTATATTCCCTCTAGCAGCAGATGCAATATGTTGCTGCACATTAGTTGCTGGGAAACATAGAGGTTGGGGACTGTGTCTCACAAATAGGTCACTTTGTGAACAGAAAATTGGAAAAGGAAGGCTTCTGGTATGATCCAGTATGGCTGCCCTTACATTCTTAAGCAAATGTGTGTAGGGTTTCAGTAAAGTAAATGGGCTCAACAGAGCTAACAGAACAGAACATTAAAGCTGGAATGCTTTCCATACTTTTCCCACTGAAAGGTGACTTCAGTGCATGTTCAAATTTGTCTACAGGTACAAATGCTCCCAAAGGTTAATAGCTTCCTGTAGTCTTAAATATTATCCCTAAATGTTCACATTCAGCAAGTTTGATGTTTACTTTTCTTCACTGTGTATACCATGTGAGATCCCACTTAAGATCAGTACAGTATCTTTAAGTCTCAGAAAAGGACTTCAGTTCTTCCACTGAAGAGCATAGAATATAAAGGAGCCTTGCTTCTGGTTTTTGTTTGTCTTCCCAAAGATTCAAGTTAACAAAAAACACCACCTCTTTTATAGATAGTTTGTGTCTTCAGTTACTGGCTACCACTCAGTACCTTTTGGGTGGAAGATGTTCTACTTTCCTCCTCCTGATCTTCAGTTACTGGCTACCACTCAGTACCTGGCTACCAGTCAGTACCATCTTTTGGGTGGAAGATGTTTTACTTTCCTCCTCCTGAATATCATATATCATATATAAGCACACTTCCATTTTAAAGAACATAAAATATTTGACTTTGTCATCTCTTCCTTTCTCCTATTGGCCTTCTTTCTAGTGAAGGAGAAAATTCCAAGGAGAGAGGGTTCAGTATTCACTTAAAAAAAACTCTTCATGAAATGTTTGTTTAGTTTTAATCCATGCTTCCTTTTCTCCCATGAAATTACTTTATTTTTTCTTCATTGTTTGTAATGCTTTATTTTCCTGGGAAAACATAATCAGATTTTGCCTTTGTTCGAGCTTTTTGGCTGCAGAAGTGATATGTGACCAATTGTGTTTTCTGTTCCTGTGTTTATTGCCCATCACAATATTTTTGGTTGCATCTGAAGTATAAGTGCAAAAATTGAGTCATTCGTAAGGTCAGACTCAATGATTGGTTTGTTCTCCTGGGTATTAAGTTGGAACTGGGCTTAATTATAATAAAAACTGAACCATTGTAATCAATATGACATACAGTAACAATAATCTCAGAGACTTTAAAGGATCAGCATTGATTCAGGGCATTACATCAACAGCTGATCTATAATGTCCTATATGTCTGTTGGTTTATGTGAGGAATAAAGAAGTGAGTCTCACTGTAATTGTTCTTTTATCTTTTTGTGACAGATCAACTGAAAAGTGAAATCCTTGCTCTGCTCATGATACTGTGTTGCATAGCAGTATCATAAATGTCCTTTATATTCCTCAACTGGATCACAGTCTTAATAATTCATATTGTTTGAAAAAGCACATATTGCTATCCACACAACACATTTAAGGGCTTTGTGGTACCATTGGGGCACACAACTAGCCGCCTAGAGCGGTCGAAATGACTAGATAGGCGGGGTATAAATACAATAAATAAATAAATAAGATCACATTTTTATCTGCATTAACTGACTTGTTCAGTTACTACTAGAGATGAGGGTATTCGTATACGAATATCCCCACACAGGTGGAAATAACAAGGGTCTGGCCCCACGGGGCTGGACTGTCCACTCACAATTTCGCCACTGCTGCCGGCTCCATGGTGCTTTTCTATCGTGCTATTATCCATAATCGATTACCCAGTCCTGTCAGGAGGTGGGATGAGAAGCCTCTCTGCTAGGTCGGAGAGTGGCTAATCCATTGTGAAGAACAGCGCGCTAGGAAGCTGCTGCAGAGCTGGCGGCAGTGGCAAAATTATGAGTGGACCCTCGTTATTTCCACCTGTGTGGGGACATTCGTATATGAATACCAATTCCCTCATATCTAGTTACTACTACACTATAGTTTAAGGGGTTTCTACTCATGTTACTTTATGAGGTGGCCTTGGACAAATCACTAGCAGCTTTAATTTCCCATTTGTAAAATAGAAGTAGTGACTTATTCTATTAGACTGTTGTGAGTTCAAACATAATATTGTAAAGCACTTTGAAAAGGAAAGAACAATGATGTTGTCATCGTTATTTGTCTGAAACACTTGAATCTGCTTTAACATTATTCGATTAAGTTACATCATTTTTGAAGAGCTAGTATGCTATGACTTATGAATTAGAAAGATTAAAGTTCAGGTTCTAACTCATTCAGTTCAGCTCTGCTGAAGAGTGAACTCTTCAATGGGTATTATGCTACTATCCCCCAATTTAATTGCACCCCACAGGGCTATTGTAAAATTAAAATGCTGCTCTGTGGAGGAACAGCAGGATAAAAATGTGCAATAAATAACAGTGAAATCCAAGGTGTGTGATATTCCTTGCTTGTTAGCTGACTACAAGGCAGAGTCTTGTGGTTTAGATATAAATTTAGATATCACAAGGAATTCTGGATTCTTTTCATCCAGTAACAAAGTTCTGAAGTGGCACACAAAACAAGGGGCCACTTCAGAACTTTGTTCCTGGATGAAAAGAATGGTTTTCAGCTTGAGATAGTTGTTCAAACTGGGCCAGTTTACACCCTGAAGGAAGGTGAAAAACTGAAGAGCCTTCTGCTGTTCTTAACTGTATGAACAAGGCACCTTTCAGGAATATTCTAATCAGTTTACCTCCTCTTGGTACATCGGATTAACTGATTGCATTAGTTGAGGTGCCTCTTGTTTGTCCAGTGGAAATGCGTTAAAACTGCTGAGCTGGACAAATGATTCAGCTTGGAGCAAGTAAGACAAATGCTGTTTTGTGTGTGTGTGTTTCTTTGGCAGCCTCTTTCTAATTATATCTTTCCATCAGAGTTTTTTCTTGTAAATACTAAGCAAGCATGTAAGTCAGTGAGCTTAAACATTTGCGCTCTTTGTCCCAGAACTGTTTTTCTTTTCTTTTCTGCCCCCCCTTTCTCTGTGGGTCAGGCCAAGTGCCAGTCAAAGTTGTTTTTCAAGCCATGCACTGAAATTGTAGATCCCCCTCCCACCTCCAAGAAACATTTGGGTTTGCATAATACACATTTGTTAAAAAGTTGCCAGTGCTTTATAGACTGCTGAAAACTGTGTCTTGTGCTAACAAATGTGTATGTTTGGTACGTGCATTTATTCCTCCCCCCCCCAGCTCTTGGATCATATTACATGTCTTGCACTTGATGTTTTCCTCCCCACCACCACCTTTCTGCTTTGTAACTTGTGAAAAATTTCGGGGATTGGTGAATCACAAAGGAGTGCAATTTAACTTAACTGTTTCAT